AGGAATCAATGTCAGAGTACCCTTCGTCTGGATGTTCCATTAAGACCTTGTAAATTGAACAAGTGTTGAATATAAATTTTAACTAATACGTTGGAAACTATTTATAAATTTATATTCTTTCATTCTTTCATTAATCTATTTAGGGGATGTTCTGGATTGTACTGGAACAGCTGAAGCTGCCGTTCGAGCACGCATACGTGCAGCCTGGAATAAATGGCATCTCCTTGCCTCTATATAGATGCGGCGTGACATCCCACTACCACTACGATCAAGCCTTTATAAATCTGTGATAGGTCCAGTGATGTTATATAGTGCAGAAACATGGCCAATGACAACCAAACTGGAAAAACAACTTCAACGAACTGACATGAAAATGCTCCGATGGATGCAACGAATTAGTCTGAAGGACCACATCAAATCTACCGAAATCCTGTGTCGTGCTGGTTTAGATGATACAAAGGACGAATGCCGGCAACACCGTCTGCGGTTGTTTGGTCATGTTAAACGAAACGGAAACAGTGCCATAACTTCTCTTGCAGATGTTGAAATACCTGGCACACATCCCAAAGGCCGTCCAAAAAAGTCCTGGTCACAAACAATCGAGCAAGACATGAAAGCTCTAAATTTAAATGAAATGAATACAACTGATCGTTTAATTTGGCGCAAAAAATTGATGGCAAAGAAAACAACGTCCTACCTCAGGGAACTGGGTCTCTGGACGCTAATCGAAGATTGATTAATTCTTTCATTTAATTTTACCGTTGTTTCATTACATAAAATTAGATTGAGATCATGAACAAACAAAAGAAAACTAAAAGAAAAACTCTTTTTTTAATTTATCTGTAAGTCAGATTGACAATATACAGAAACCGTGAACATAAAAAAATAAATAAAATGGTTCAAAACGAATCTAGAAATTTCGGGTCCCGAAATTTTCTGTTCCACATTTCACTCTGAGGAATTTTGGTCCAGAAATTTTTATTCCCAGATTTCACTACACCAAAATTTTCGGTATCGGAAAGTTCGGTCCCGGAATTTTTGGTCGACAATGTTTTTAGTACACAAAAAATGAGCCAAAGAGGGATCCATGCCAACAATGTAATTTAAAAATTGTTTAGCATACTAGAAAAAGTGGGCGTGGTTAATAAAATGCGTGGCGTAGAGATATTTACATAACCATCAGTAGTTTCTATTGTTTAGTTTCCATTGTTTAGTTACCATTATTTCCAACGAATTAGGAAAAAACTTAGCAATAAATAACCATCAGTAATATCTAAATTGAGTATCGATAAATTTAAAAGACAGTTAGAAAATTTGATTTGGACAAAATAATTATCAAATAATAAATCGAAAATAAATAATTGCAAAATTTTTTATACATAACCAATCAAAATTAGTACGCACAACATTAGTCAATGCAAGCATAACTCAAGTCGCTGTCCAATCAGCATATCAGGAAAAGACCTTTATCATAAGACACCTCAAATATATTAGCACTCAATAAAACATTATTATTTACACAATCTAGTTTTCTTTTTACTTATCGATCACCTCACTAACTTACTAAGTCATTATCTAGTCCATTAACAAATTACTTTATTAATTAGCCTTTTTATATCATTACTTTATTTTCAATACTTTTCATGTTTAAACTTTTTTCTCTCCGTTTTTTATTTATTTATTTATTTATATTTTTCGTTACCATTTTATACAACTGCCTTGCATGCTGTAACAGTTTCTGCGTCTGCCAGATCCTGGTTTTTAAAGAATAAAAAAAGAGTACCTACTAACTACAATGCAATTTTATTTTACATTGATAAGGTTAGCATAATTTTTAGCATATTCAGTACCAAAGAAGTTTCCAGCATTTAAAAAGCCTAATGTTACAATTTTGTGTTTTTGAGAGTTTTCTTGCTTTATTCAATTTTGTGCTTTTTGTGTATATGTGCATGGATATTTGGAATAGAATTCACAAAAACAATCAAAGGTACAAATAAAGTTTTTTTTATAATGTTTTGGTTATTCTTTTCATAAGATGACACTACAAGGATTTAGATTTCGTTGTATCAATTGTAACACGATACATATATATAAAGGTACACGTCCCAATAGACTCACTGACTAACAGAACTAAATTGTGTAATTTTCAATTTTAGCTTCATAATTTTTTAATTAAATGCAAGGATATCTTGAACTACTGTTATCACGTGAAAAACCTTGAATACAATGCAAGGATTACTCAAATAACCCATTGTTCAAAGCAAAACCATCACTATTTTACATGCAAGCATGATCAATTGGATTTGAGCTGCGGGTGTAGTGTAGTGGTTACGAACGTTGACTCCGGGTTCGAATGCATGCTATGCCACATTCCAAAGCTTATCATGTACTTCAAGTATGTGATGCGGTGAATAGCCGAGGCACGACGTCTGAGCGCCGTGGAACGTCACGGAAATAGCGCTGTATAAATAAACAAAAGATTTTAAATAGGGGATCGAAAACTCCAGGACCGAAAATTCCTATATAGTGAAATTTTAAACCGAAAATTCCGAATACAATTCAAAACATATTGTTATATCCATGAAAAAAAAGTAGCACATAAGTCGTGGCCACAAAAACCGTCGTTAATAAAAAGAACCCTAGCTGTCCTGAATTACTTCAGTTAAACAATTTTTTGTGAAATATATCTGTTAATAAACATTTTTGGTTGTGAAATATTAACGTTAACAATCAATTCGATTTTATTTGTTGTGTTCTATAATACTGATATCAAAAACTGGATAAAAGTTGTATTCAACAAAAATACAGGACAAAGCAAGAAAATTAAATAGCTATTATATTTTAGATAGAAAAAATGTAATCAGAAAAAAATAAAACGTTCACAGCTTTGATAGTGATGTACATGGGAAGAGAATTACGATTTTTGAAAATTGGAGGTGGTAATGGTACAAAAACCCAGCCTTGTAGTTGGCAACAACTACATGCCGGTCCCAAGCCCGGATAAATGGGGAGGGGTGAGGACAAAAATAGCAAACTACCTCACTATTTTGCTGAAATACCTTATGGATCAGTACAATAAAATAAGTTCAGATATGGTGCTGGAAAGTGAAACCCCTGGGCTGGAAAGCACCTATCATATTACCAGGGATGAACGTGAACGTTTTTCAAGTAGCGAAGGCATTTATGACGTGGACGGGACAAATCCATCAGGACTCCCGCCTGCTGATGTGGCTCCGAGCAAAAGGAAGCGTCTACGTTTTACAACAACTATTCACAATATCGGCACATGGAATGTTCGCTGCATGAACATAGGCAAACTCTAAATCATCAAGCAAGAAAAGCAACGACTTCATATCGATCTGTTGGGCATCAGCGAGCTTCACTGGACGGGTAATTCAACCCAAACAGATTGATCTGGAACCGGACATCCTGGAAGAAGAAGTCAGTTGGGCTCTAAAACAACTACCAAACAGGAAGGCCCCAGGCACGGATAATTTACCAGCAGAACTACTCAAGCCAATACCAGTCAAAATCCTTACCAAATTGTGTCAGAAAATCTGGAGCACAAAATCATGGCCCAACGACTGGACAAGACCAGTTTTCGTCACGCTTCCTAAAAAAGGCGATCTACAGGAATGTTCCAACTATCGAACTATCGCGCTCATTTCCCATGCCAGCAAAATCCTGCTAAAACTTATACAAAACCGCATTGTGGCAATCATGACACGGGAACTACCAGATGTTCAGACTGGCTTTCGCAAGGGACGAGGCACGAGGGATCAAATTGCGAACCTACGCTGGATCATGGAGAAAGCTAGAGAATACCAGAAGGACGTCTATATGTGTTTCATTGACTATACCAAGACGTTCGACTGTGACCATGACCATGACAAACTCTGGACGTGTTTGAAACAAATGGGCGTACCAGAGCACATTGAACAACTGATACAAACACTGTACTCCAATCAGGCAGCAACTATCAGAACATCGTATGGTAACACCGATTGGTTCAAAATCGGTAAAGGCGTCAAGCAGGGATGCATTTTATCCCCAGCTCTGTTTAACCTGTATGCCAAAACCATCATGCGTGCGACGATGCAATCTGGACGAGACCACGTGATTCAACGAGTTCAATGCAAGGAATAGATAAAATCTGTAGGAGCAAGGATGTGAGCATTGCAACGAAAACGAGACTCGTCAACGCCATTGACTTTCCCATAGCAATTTATGGATGTGAAAGTTGGACAATCAACAAAGCGGAAAGAAGAAGGATCGACGCTTTTGAACTTTGGTGTTGGAGAAGACTACTGCGTATCCCCTAGACACGCGAACAACAAATAAGACGGTCTTGGACCGTATCAGGCCAAAAATGTCGCTTGAGGGCAAAATCGTCAAACAACAACTCTCCTTTTTCGGCCATGTTATGCGCGCAAATTCGCTGGAAACTTCAATGATGCTAGGTAAAGTGAGTGGGACAAGCAGAAAAAGACGGCAAAGAATACGTTGGCTTGATACAATCACATCGGCCACCAAAATGACGATCTCAAAACTTAAAATAATCGTCGAGGACAGGAACGCATGGAGAAGAGAGATCCATAAAGTGGCCGAAAGTCAACTTCGACTAAATGGCGGTTGTTGGAGATGATAAGGATACAAAGCGGTTGATGGAGGTCCTCAAAGAAGGAAAAGATTTAGAAAAATGTGAGTTCTACCCAGAGAGCTAGAGCGAAGTATTAAGTATTAAAAAGTTGAATAAAAAAATGGATGATAAATTGGGGCAAATGAATGAGGTGGAGAGAAGAATGAACACGAAGTTTGAACGGGTGGTTGAGGATATGGAAATGACGAATGATAAACTAAAGGCCGAAATTGTACAGTTATCAAAGGAAAGCATTGAAGAGTTGGAGTCCAAGTTTGCTGATGTGATGAAAATATTGAAACATTTGACAGAAGACATTGCTGACAAGGATGTGCTTAAAATAACTAGACTCGGTAAAAAAGATAATAGTACAATCAGACCAGTGTTAATAAAATTAGAAAATGTAAATTTTTAAAATTCAAAAATGAAAAATGTTTATCAAATGAAGACACTACCTGATGAGTTATCCCGTGTAGGACTGAGTCACGATTTGACAAAAGAACAAAAGCAGGAGAATAAAACGCTGGTGACTGAAGCTAAAACAAAGCAATCAACGGATGAACGGGGTTTTTTGTTCAAAGTGAAGGGACCGGTTGAGAAATGGAAAATAATCGAGTTTCAGAAAATAATCACAATTAATAATTTCGGTGAAAATAATTTCAATAAAATTAAAACAAATAATGTAACAACGAATATGAACAATGTTTTGCTTGGTTTTTTAAACATAAGATCAATTGTCTCGAAGGCTGATGTTGTATATGAATTAATCTGTGAAGGCTTAGATATTTTTGTGCTGGTAGAGACATGGCATGGGTCATCAGATAATATTTCTGTAAAATCATCTACACCACCGGGATATCGTTACGTTAATTTTCTTAGATTAAATAATTCCCTTCATGAAGGAATAATTGTTATATTCAGATCAAGTTTCAGATATAAAGTAATAGAATTACCTGTTTTGTTACGTTTGAGGCTGATGCTCTTAAATTGTTTATTAAAAAAAACAAAGATTTTATATTATTGGCGTTATACCCACCGGGCCCTGCTCAAGTAAATTCCTTGTTTTTTGCGTGTTCTAGAGATCATTACAGTTTTAAGTTCAAATATTTAGTTAACTGGCGATTTCAACATTCATGTCGAAACATTGAATGATCATCATGACGTTAGTTTGCTAGAAATTTTTGAACAGTTCCACTTGATAAACCTCATAAACAAGCCGACACATGTCTGTGGTGGTACTTTGGATTTAGTTGCTAGTTCAATCAATTTTCATGTTTCAAATAGTAAAATATTTCCTAGCGGCGTTCATTCAGATCATGGTTTAATTCATATCAATATACCAATGGTCCGAAAGTGTCATCAGAAAACTTGTAGATTAACCAGATTATGGAATCGAATTGATCAAGATATGTTATAAATGCATGTTTTGAACTCTCCATTCTTTAGGCCATGTCAGAGTAAAGACATAGATTACGAATTTTAACTTTTCAATGAGCAGCTAAAGAAAATTGCTGATTTAATTGCACCTCTGTGTGTTGTTGAACATAGAAGTGATCTTACTGCTCCTTGGTTTGACAATGAATGCAGAACTGCTAAAAGATATTGCCGAAGTAAAGAAAGAAAGTATAGACGTTGTTTATCGCCAGCAAGTCGCAATGATTGGGTCGATGCATTAAAAGAAAAAACCGAAGAAATTGATTACTGACAGCAATGGTAACTCAAAAAAATTATAGAACACGGTAAACAAAATCCTTTGTAAAGATAGTAATGGTCCATTCTCTGATTCTGTCAATATCACAACATCCAAATTTATTAGATTTATTTAAAGAAAAGTTGAAAGCATTAAAAACTCTATAGAAGTAAAGGTGAAGCCAGTCATTGACAAGTGCAGGCTGAATGATACTTGTCTGTTAACTAGTTTTACGGCAGTTACGGAACTAGACATCAAAGAAGTAATACTTTGCTTACCGTCCAAATCCTATTTGTTGGATGTTTTTCCGACACATGTTATCCAGAAATATGCGGATTTATCCATTATTTTCCTCACTGATTTTGTTAATCTATGTATAAGTGAGGGAACATTTCCAACTAAATGCAAACATGCAATTGTAAAACCAGTGTTGAAGAAACTTGGCTTAGATAACAATGAATTAAAAAATTTTAGACCTATATCTAACATTTGTTTGAATTCTAAGATTATAGAGCGTGTTGTGGTCAGTCAAGTTTTTAAACATTTATACAAAAAACAGTTTAATGCCAATATTTTAGTCTGGTTACAAACATCATCACTCCACTGAAACAGCACTGTTATATGTTGTATCTGAATTATGCTGCTGTTGACAAGCAACATATTGCTCTGCTAACATTTTTGAATTTTGGTGCATTTCAGATTTTATATATATATATATTTGTGTTTGTGTGTGTGTGTGTGTGTGTGTGTGTGTGTGTGTGTGTGTGTGTGTGTGTGTGTGTGTGTGTGCGTGTAATAAATTCCATTCCACCGATTTATTAGTAGAATTTAAATATATAAATTAGATCTATATTGTGGTCAGTCAACTTTTGAAACATGTATACAAAAACATAAGTATATATATATTTATATATACTTAAAATCATTAACACACAAAGACAGACTAATGGTAGGTTCGGTTAGCTTGGTAATTATCAATGCATATGCAAATTCAGATTTTTGTCCAGCTTGCTATAGCTTGATAGCAGCAGAGCAGGCTTTGTTTCCGCCAATTGCCGCAACAAACACGTGGCCAAGTTTTCAATGACCGAGCAATGCAGAAAAATATAACATTTTAAAAATTTAATTCAATTTAAATATAAAAACTTTTTGAAAAACAATTTTTAGTTTTGTTAATAAAAATCGTAAAAATGAATTGTTTATAATTTCAGAGGTTAAACAATAATAATTTTAACAGTTTTTGATGTATACGTATTGCCTAGTAAAACACGCAAATTTTAGATCAAAATCTGGCTTCGCCGGATATCAGTTTTTACTATCCAGCTATATTCTGCTCCGGTCGGGTATCAAATAGTACTATCCGGTGCAACACTAAAATAAAGAATAGGTTTCAAGGAGAATGACAAGATATAGCTATAAAACCCTCAAAAACGAAAGGGCAGGTGTCCTAAACTGCAACAAGATGAAGAAGGTCCATACACAGTTGTTAAGCAGATCAACGACGTTGTTTGTCGAATCCAGAAGAGCCCGCGGTCCCGATACAAGGTTGTTCACATTAATCGCCTTTTCCTGTAGTTGGGTGGTGCAAATAACTTCCAAACGAACAAACTAAATAACAAAAAAAATGCATAAATAGTAACACGACGTTGGTAAATTAGTATGGGCAAACATCATCAATGACGGCTACGACATCTTCAATGGCGACGAAATCATCACTTACATCGTCAGTAGCGGCGGCAACATCATCAACGGCATCATCAACGGTCTCTGCAACATCATCAACAAAAATAACAGCGGCAGCAACATCAACAACACCGTCAACGGCAACAGCATCGTCAATAACAACATTATCATCAACAGCAAAAACAACAACCTCCAGAACAAGAGATTAATAACATTAATCCAGGACCTCAACATCGTCGCAAACAGCAACATCAACGATGTTATCACGTCTACAGCATAACAACACAACCTATGTAAAATCAATTAGTATA